GTAACATTTAACAATCAACACTTGCAACACGTAACAATCAATACCTGCAACACGTAAAACACAGCACCTGCAACATGTGACACTCAACACCTGCAACACGTAACATTCAAAGCCTGCAACGCTCAACACTGGCAACACTCAACACCTGCAACACGTAACACTCAATACCTGCAACACTCAAACACCTGCAACGCGTAACACTCAACACCTGCAAAACGCAACACTCAACACCTACAAAACATACAATCAACACCTGCAACACATAATACTCAACATCTGCAACATGTAACACTCAACACCTGCAACATGTAACAATCAACACCTGCAAAACACAGCACAACATATACACAATGTATAAAACATACACAGCAAGTACAGTATTAACGTAGTGGAGTATACAACCCCCCACCAAACAACAGAACAATGTGAAAATATATGCATGTATATATGTATGTGTGTGTATATGTATGAATGTAATATATATATTCACACATATAGATATATACATTTGTGTGTGTATATGTTTATATATACGTTATGAATGTATATACGTACTCACCTATATGTGGTGTAGGGATCGAGTATATATATGTGTGTATATGCAAAACAACCAATGGGGGAGTTGAATGATAGCTCTCGGCCTTTCGTGTGGCAATCAACACATCATCAGAGCTTGCAATGTTGAAGAAATGAGTTAAATAGGTCTCAGCAGGTTCGTTCAGAGGGTACGCAAGAGCGTCCCTCTGAACGAATCTGCTGAGACTTTTTATTCATTTCTGCTATATTGTAAGCCCTGATGATGCGCTGATTGCCACATGAAAGGCCGAGAGCTATCATTCAACTCCCCCATTGGTTGTTTTGCATCTTGTATCGCTTGTTCGCGATTCATACATATCATGTGTGTGTCAGTGCGTGTTTGTCCTCTCTCATGTATAAGACTGGTTATACACAGGCTGGTGTATGTATGTTAGTAGACATTATGACTTGTATATACATATGTAGTTATGTATATTACGTTTATTAAGCTTGTCTCTCTCTTTCTACTACCATCATTCTCCTCTGTCTCCTGTGCACAGCTTCTCTATACTGAAAATGGTGTAAAATATGTACAAGTTGTGGTGGAGACACTTGCAACAGTCGCGTACCTTTATTACTCCAAACTTCTCGCCCTTGTACCTGCGATTCACGCTTTGTCGCCCCCCCCCTCCCTCCTCCCTTCCCCCCCTCCCCCCTCCTCCCCCTCCCCCCCCCCCTCCAGTCCCCAAGTTGCGCACGCGACCTCCTGAAATCACCCTCAGCTCAGCTACTGGGTTAACCCTGGTTCTTTCCCTCTTACAAGAACCTTCCTCTATACCAACCTATTCTTCCTCTATCCCCACTTCCCATCTCACCCCTTCTTGGGTCTTACCTAGAATCTACAGATAGATAGCCTACATAGTAGGCTTCTTCAGTCTAGAGGCAGCAGGTGTGAGTGGTGAAATGAAGATGATGTCAACAGTCCATCAACCTTGGAGAAAATTGTATTTGAAGTTGTCAGTCCCTCAGCCTGGAGAAGAGTTTAGCACTATGGTCTGACCTTAAGAGTAGTCTGACACAGTACTGACCTTGATAGTAGTCTAACACAGTCGTTCCAGCATATAGTGTTAGTTAGGGTGGTAGGGTGGCAGGGCCGCGGTGTAGGGTCAGGCTAAGGCCTTCCACAGGTCTCCCGGCACTCCTTGACAC